GATGGATGGATGGATGGATGGATGGATGGATGGATGGATGGATGGATGGATGGATAGATAGATAGATAGATAGATAGATAGACAGATAGATAGATAGATAGATAGATAGATAGATAGATAGATAGATAGGCATACGTACACACAGGCAGACACACTAGACACACGTTTGTGACGACACAAGACTTACCTTTGACCAGAGGATGGTACCCCGATCGTGAACTGTGGTAGTGAAGTTTGAGGCTGCCATCCTCCTCTGTGTCACATCTGCGGGCAAAAGAATCACTGTTTATTAAACCATCTGGCACCATTGCAAAATCAGGGGCTCGTCAAAATGGAAGAATCGAATCGAATAAAAACCTTTTTTTCCGCCCTTTGGGAAATTTTGATCGATTGTTCTTGATTGTTTGTTTTTATTTGCGAGGGGGGGGTGCTCAAAAATGTTATGCCCAGTTAAAAACATGATTTATGTGTGGAGTCTACTGATAGCAGCACATTATGCTAAGTGCCGGCTCTAACTCTAAGAGCATGCCAAATTGTGCTCTTCCGAAAACAATAATTAAGATTAAACAGATGCTTTTCTTAAGGCAACTTTTCCTATCCGGAAGGTTCTTTACACCAGACACCTGATGAAGAAATTTTTCGAGGTTTAAAAGAAAGGGGAAAAAAGTTCAATGACGTGGTGACACGACTGGAAAACATGTCAATTTTTTTTTAATGAATTAGTCTGTTAAATACCTACTGTCCGAGACTCGATGACCGCAAGAAAACAATAATAACTGTTACAATTCTGCATAGATCAGTACAAATGTGAGACAAATTTTGATTGATTATCTGGAAGCCATAATCCATGTTCAAATTTGAACTGGTCAGACAAACACCCCTGGATCAACCAATTTGGGGAGTAACCCAGAAAAAGCCTTTTGCGCTGAAAATACGCTGAATTCAAATAGTTTCAAGATTATTTTTGCGGAAAGTAGGAGTTGAATCCAGATCTAGGTCTATGCACCTTCTGAAAGAGCAATTTGGGAGTGGTAGGAATAGTTCAAGGTAGGGCTGGGCAAGTACCCGGGTAGTTACCTGGGTAACTGGGTAAAGAGCTCAAAACCGGCTACCCGGGTATTGGTGTCGTGGACCCGGGTTTTCTCCTCCCCATCGTTAAATCCGATGCAAATGTACTTAAATCACGTCCCTTCGTTCGAACCTTAATAAGTACTGAGTACCTATCTGTACTGAGCTCTTTTAGCCGATACAGTACTCGATCGATATTGGCCACTGGCAGTACCTTTACAGAGTGAGCTTCGCAAGCGCTTCACACAACTTGAGAACACATATTTTGTGGCAGCATCACCTATCCTCGACCCCTGTTTCAAACGGCTTCCTTTTAGTAAAGACGCACCGAAAAAAAAAAATAGCAACTCGCCTTCTTTCAGTGATTAGAGAAAAACAAGGAGACAGACCCGATCAAACACCAGGCCCACCATCGGTTTCAGATGCTGAAACAGAACCTTCGGCAAAAAAAAAAAATCATTTTTTCAAGCCTTCGACGTGCAAGCAGAGGAGCATAGGCAAACGTCTCTGCCACAAACAAGTGCCACAGTCCAACTGAATCGGTACTTTGAGATGCTCCTGTCCAGAAGGGGAGAGGACAATCCACTGACCTGGTGGAGTCAATGTGAAAAAGCCTTTTCGGAACTCAGCCAGGAAGCCAAAAAGCTTTTGGCTATTCCAGCAACATTATTAATATGTGCCGTCAGAACGGCTGTTCTCCAAGGCTGGTGAACTGATTTCATCAAAGAGGTCTTGCCTTGGCGAAAAACGTGTGGATAAACTTTTGTTTTTAAACAAAATTTTGAAATGAATCGACCCCCCCCCCCTCTTTCCCAGTCCAGGATGTGTAATATGTTTTGTCAGTCTTCCTTGCCTTTTGTTTATGTCCATAAGTCGTTGACTTCATTGAGAGTTTTGAGAGACCCATTGTTTTGAATTCCCCAAACTAAACTAAAACCCAGAAGAAAAAAAAACCGACATCAACAAAGAAAACAGCAACAAAATAAGAAAAAAAATACTCCCCCTACAAAAGAAAATGATAATTGAAAAACCGGGTACTCGACAGGTACATTACCCAGGTATTACCCTGATATCAAATTACCCGTGTAATCCCAGCCCTAGTTCAAGGTTTGAGGATGTCTGTCAGAAGGCCAACAACGAAATGTGAAATCAGTTCGCTTATCGCTGACAACAACGCCAAAGAAGTCTGTTGAGAACGAAGCAATGAACTAGGCCTGTCAAAGTCCCCAACTTAAAAAATCTAAAAGCATTATTTGAAAATGAAGCCATATCACAACGCTTTTGAGTAAAAACTACAATGAGTGCGTGGGAGAGAGAGAGAATGTTCAACACTCTGTTCGCTTTAGGGGAGAAGCTCATTTCTACCGATCTATAAAAGTTAATTCTGGGAATTGTGTGCGCTGGGAAACATAAAGACCAAATGATGTGAAGAGAGGAACTCAAAATTGAAACACGCACCTTGTAGAGCTACAACGCCTCTGCAGTGTCAGAACGCTGCATCATTTAGTCGGCATAGGGAAATGCATTGCATGTGATGGGGTCGATGTGGAACATCTTTCGTACAGCTAACAGTTCAAATGATTGTATTAGACTATGTTTCTAACAAATGACTTTCCTGTATTTAAAGCGATTTTTTAAAACTTTTTGGGCGGTTATCGAGTTTGGGACACAATTAGATTCATGCTTTTTTAAACTGCAAAATGCTTGGTGTTCGATTCTGAGCTGTGTCCACATTTTTTCGTTGCTTGGCAGGGTACTTTTCTCTCGAATATAATATCCCGGCAGAATGAAAAAGCGCTGAAATATATCTGATATCTTTCTGTACCTTCCGCTGATAGGTCCTTGTCTTTCACTCACACCGTTTTACCTTGTACTGTGAAGAGCAAAAAGGTTACTCAAGCTTCGGAATGCGAGTATTACGGGCTCAGCCTAGCCTCGCTTCCAGAAGGTTGACAACGTAAAATTGACGCTATGTACTCTGTTCATTTCGAGATGTCTCCCCAAGGAGTCGTTTATCAGGATCCTTGGATTACGACCCCCCCCCCTCCCTTTTTGTCTCCCCGACAAGATGGGGCTATAGATGGTCAAGAGTTGAGTTGCGGTTAGAGCGGTCAGCTATTGGTGGATGACATCGATTGAATAGATAAAGAACGAGGAAGAAATGAGAAAACATTGGGAAACAGGAGTCGGTTCGTTTTCAGCTGGTATTTTTGTGTGTGTGTGGGAGGGGACGGTATTTTGCTTTTACTGCTGTTTTTCTTTTATTTTGATTGTGACCGTTTGACCTTAAACAGCTCTTGATTTCGCTCTCGTTTTCATTTAAAAAGCTTTATTTGTTAGGTAATTGTATCTGTTCGTTTGCTATTTGTTTGTTTTGTTTTATTTCGTTGCTGTTGTTGTTTTTAATCGTTGTTGTTGCTATTTATTATTGATGTTGTTATCTTGTGTCTGCCTTTTACTGTTTTGTTTTGTTTTGTCTTTCCTTTTTACAGGGAGGGGATAAGAGTGGTGGATACGATAAAGGGTATGAAGTGAGGAAAGGGAAGATTTCAACAGCCAGGTAAGTGTCATGAAAGTCACATGCTCACATCGTCGCCGGCATTCATCATTGTCGTAAGTCAAAATTTCGAAAAAATGAAAATCTAGTATGTTGTAGAGTTTAATGAGCCGCATCTTTTGGTCCCGGTTTCATTCCTCTACGTAAAATAGTAACGAGTGTAGAAGCATAAAACATTTTGTATTAAGATAATGTCGAAGAATATCATCAGGGAACATTGAATCAAGTCGACTTACAACAAAGTAACAGCTACTGAGGCATGTCGTATGTCGACATACGACAATATTACTTGACGAATTTCTCGCACTTCCTCATCAAATGTACCAAGTTTGTATTGACATACTACATTATGCCTCTTGCTTGAACAATGTATTGAAAGGCTCACCTTCGCTGTTGAATCAGTTCTAAAGATAGATTTCGCGGGAAAATCTGACGTGCATTGACCCAAACAATACCAGTGTCTTTTGGCTTAGTGAGGAACGGCTGTGAAAAGGAGTCTGATCTCAGAGAAGACGATGGCTTGCCACACGCCCCATAGTGTGTATAGTGGAAGGAAAACCAAGCATCTACTGCCAAACCAGAGCACGGAGACGCCCACAGAAGAACCTCAGCCAGTTCTTTAAATGATAATGCTAGTCTAAGAAATAATCTTTCTCAGGCCAGTAGCATGCATTCTGGTATGTTTGTCATTAGAGATTTAATTGAGAATATGATAAACAAAGTTACCACGACCATTCATAATAACCATAATGCACCCTCTTTGGCAAAGACCACTGATGTCAAACGTCCTGACGCACTCACAGACCATCATGGCACACAAGATACGGCGGAAAGGCGCAAAAGACATGTAAATAAACGGAAGGAGAAAAAGGATTAGTACAACTTACGGAAAGGCGACATATGCAAAGCGAAAGACTGTTAGGGTTGGCTGCAATCCAGATACTTGCAAGCGACGTTGAAGAAAAGCAATGAACTGACATTTTGAAATCTTTTTTTAACCTTGGACAACCCCAGAGGCGTTGGGATTTCATAGCAAGAACTGTCGGAGCATCTGAGCCAAAGTATAGGTGTACAGGTACTGATAGACCATAGGGAACCTCAGGATATTACAATCAACAATTGTGAAGAAATATCAGTCTGTAAAAAGTTCTACTTACATACATAGAGCACTGCAGAAACTGTGTGATGTTAATACAGCTCTTGGGAAAAAAAACAGAAGTGGGATTTGTTGAGACAGACGAGAGCGGACGTCATCCAAACCGGCCACAAGATTTAGGTGAGGAAAAAGAAGACATTAAGAACCATACAGAATCATTCCCAGTGGTTGTTTCTCATTATTGCAGAAAATCAAGCGCTAGCAAATATCTGTCGCCAACATTGAGTAGTGGGCAAAATGCACCGACTCTATGTTACGAAGCGCAAAGAGGTGGGGGCAACACGCATTGCATCCCTATAATGTTACAAAAATGAATTTTACACTCTGAACCTTGGCTTACATCGACCTAAGGAAGATATATGTGCAGCTTGTTCTGCTTTCATTAATAGTGAAAACAAGACTGAAGAAATAAATGAAGATAGAAAATGCCATGCACGGCGAGGAAATTGCTGCTACACGCCAGTACAGAGATAACCTCAAAGGAGAAGTGCAAAATGACATGACGATTGCTGCCACTACCTTTGATCTGAAAGAAGTTTTGCCACTTCCTAAATCAAATGAGGGTGACATCTACTACATGGGACAACTGAATAACTACAAGTACAACTTGAGTGTTTATGGTTTTCATCACAAGACAGACTGCAATTACCCCTGGAATGAAACTATCGCAAGGAGTCGCGCTAGTGACATTGCCTCGTGCATGATGAAGCATCTAGAACGGCTAAATAGGTCAGGATCCATCAAAACAGTAAAGCTGCTGTCAGATTCTGCTGGTGGACAGAACAGAAATCGGCCGTTAATGACGATGTTGTGGTGGGCTGTACAACATTAAAATGTTGACTTTGAGGAGGTCCACCATGTCTTCTTTGTAAGAGGTCACTCTAAACATGACAGTGACTCAACTCATGGCAGGATTGAGGCGGCTAGCAAGCATATCAATGTGTGCACAACTCCACAGTGGGTTGCAGTCATTCAAGGGGCTAAAAGAAACTCACCACATAAAGTGACAGAGATGGTGATAGAGGACTTTTAGGATTTAAAGTGCATGACCAAGGAGTTCATCAACATGAACAAAGCCACTGATCCTGAAAATGCAAAGTTCCTGCAAATCAGCATGCATTCGATGCGCAAGGGTGACCCCATTGTCACTATCAAGTATTCCATGAATGCACGACCAGTAGAAATGAACCTGCTGACATGAATCCTTCCCGGAGTCCAAAACCAGCATATTCAGCCCCATTGGAAATTGATTCCAGAAAGATGAAAGATCTGCCTGCGATTTGTGACAAACAAATCATACCCACGGGACGCCGTCCTTTTTACAAGAGTTAAACCATAAGAGAGGCCGCTTATCTTGCAGATTCACAGTATGAGTCGAACTGAAAAGTTCTGGCAGAGTGTTGTCAGGCGTGTCAGGGAAATTGAGACAACTGCCGCCTGCCTTGTCTTTGTTGGGCGTTCTGGTTAATCTTTGCACCTCTTGAATATTTTTACAATCAACATTATGAGCATACAAGTCTCCTTCATGGTTTATTTGAAGCTTATTCTCGTGTTGGTAGATTTTAAATTCATTTGTGTTTTTCATGATATGATTTGATTGACATTGATCTCACATTGCCGTATCATTCTTAAACTTTAAGTACATATTGTTGCCTTACTTAATACATTGAAGTTTCTTAGATCAAAAAGAAATCTTATACATGTATGAACTAGTCATATACTGTTGAGATACAGATGAATGTACCCTTTTCTCATCTCATTTTTCTGTTTATAATCATTTAAAAAACTTAAGACACGAAAATAGTAAGTGATGAAATAGGAGCATGTCTCATCTGGTCATCTAGGTGCCTCTTGAATTGTGAAACTGAACGTTTAAAGCTAGTACACATTGCTTTATATCTAATCATCGTCTTATTTTGGTCATTTAATCAAAGTGAGTGCATCTGGTCATCAGATGGTTGTTGAGTTGTTAAACATAAGACATGAAAATAGTAGCTTCTCCAGTTAATATTATATCTAATCAATGTCTTATTTGGCCATTTAGTCAAAATATGTGCACCTAGTCACCTAGGCGAGTGTCAAGTTT